GTGTGTGTGTGTGTGTGTGTGTGTGTGTGTGTGTGTGTGTGTGTGTGGTGAAGGGAGGGCGAGAGGGCAAAGTTGCTTTGCATATTTTAGGACACTGGTAGTGGTGAAACAATGGGCCACAGGTACTGTAAAACACATAAAGGTCTGTCTGACGGGCACTTGGTGGTCCAGAGGGATAAGGGCAGGTGCTCAAGCACCACCTGACMTCTCTCTGTGCCTGTCCAGGTCCATTACTGTCATCAATGTTCCATCAGCCTCACTGTGAACTAATGGTTCCATCTTTCCTTCTCTTTCTTGTAGGTCTGTCTGGCTTTTCTGTCCTCTACACGGTCTAATTTGCAAAAGACTGAAGTGAGGTAAGGATCAGTGGACAGCAGCATGGTCTCATGCCAAGAAAGAGCTCCACACAAGTCCTGTTTTACTTTGAGAGTGTTGATGGAGAAGTACAGAGGTCAGGACCTGTCCTGTGTCTTTGTGAGGATGGAGACAGGAGTAACAGTGAAGCTGTAAGGAGCTGAGGTGTTGAAGGACAGGCAGGAGATTGGTGTGACAGAGGAGGGTGCTAAAGAAAGGATCATTTACCGTGGTGACCCCTGTCGAGAGCAGACAAATACAAGGAAGATATAAAAAAGTTTGGAATAGTTTGGATATAAAAATGTTTTTTTTTTTACTTTCCAAATGAATACTCAGAATACAGCCCAAATATTGTAAGTAAAGACACAGAGAAGTGAACAGAAAAGGATATTATTGTGAGCCAGGCTTCTCAGCTTCTCTGTGACTTGGTTCTGAAACATGATCATGTTCTCACACTGACACAGATTTTCATTCGCCGGTTTCTCTGTTGGAGAAAAAACAAAACATTATGAGGAAGCATTTCAGACTCTTGAGAACAGTTTGATTCAGGAGTGTGACTGTTTCTGTACGGATGAGTCTGATTTATTGCAGCAGCAGGTGGCAGTCATGCACCATTATTATCTTCATGTAAAGTTGAGCTCTTTCTAGAACCTGCTGCAGTGGAAACACTACCTGACCTGAAATAACACTAAGCAAATAGATCCCACTTTTCTGACGTTACCTGTAATTTCAGCTTGTTTTTGGTGAGATGGATTAGCTTTGTTTAGAACAGTGGTTCCCAACCTGAGAAATAATTCAATTAATCTTTGTTTCCGTTTGCAAGTAAAAGTTTGTAATTGTTATTTTGATAAAGGGATAAAGGTTTAATGCATCTTTGATAGAGGTGAAGAGCTGTATTAACTCCCTCAGGGGGCTCTGTAGGTTGTTCACTTTCATTCTGAAAGGGGTTTGTTTGAAACCGGAGGTGACTTTTTATTTATTTTATTTTGTTTGCTTATGGTTGTTTTGTCTTCTCAGTAGTTGTTTGAACCAAGAAAACAAATTTAAATTGTTCATTTTCACCTGAAAAGTAAATCTGCAGAATTTTATGATATTCTGGACATTTGAATACTTCTTTAAGTCAATATGAACATTATATGCTTTGAAGATTTTTTTGTTGAGATTGTCGATTGTTGATCCTAATAAAATCCATAAAAGAACTTAAGAAAACTTCTACTTTTACAGTTAAATACATTCCATAATGTGATAAATTGTTTGTCATTGCACTAGTAACCGTTTGTGTAACTGTGTAGTTTAATTTTTGTGTTGAAAACTATCAAGAAAACGTGTTTTTCCTACATGAGTGTTCTGGAGAGATTAGCTCCAGCTAGCAGTTTTCTATGGTGTTTGGACTGTATATTAGAAGCTAATTAGCACAATGCTAATGCTTCCTTTCTGCAAAATATGGATTAATATCAACATATTATTGATTCTAGTGTTTTAAAGGAGTAAATTAAATGTGGTTTACATTGTATTATTTGTTAATTTAGATTCAGCATAGCTTTAGTTGTGATTTGTTTTATATAAGATACTATAATGTTCAAATGTATTTATGAATTTGTGTTTGGATGAATGTTAGAAAAAACTAAATGTAATTTTATCTTGTTTACAGATAAACCGTCAGCAGCTGCCCTGTGTAAACAATCTGTTACAATTATACTGTATATAGAGTTCAGCTTGGCTTGGAAGTAAGAAACAAGGGCTTTGAAGAAAACAGGACGGGATCCACTGATTTASGATACCTTTACACATYCTRGACTTCAGCTTCTTTGAAATTTCTCCCATTTTCTCAAAATCCTCTGCATAGTACAGATACATGTCTGCAGGTTCTGATGCAATCTCTCTCAGCTCCTGTTCGATGGCTTTCCCAACACCCAGGGCATAAATGGTGACCCCTGAAAGAAGCAGAAAACTGGTGACAYGAAACTGAAAGAAAATGCTTCGGCTGGTCAGRAGAAGAGAGGACGAACCGAAGTTCTTAGCTTTAGTGGCCCACTCTGAAACGTCGTCCTGTGATCTTCCATCAGTGAACACAATGCTGACCCGTGGGACGTTGGGCCTGGCACCTTCTTTGTCTGAGAAGCTGAACTCAAACATGTGGCGCAGGGCTGAGCCCGTCATTGAGCCCCGGCCCATGTACTGCATCTGGGCCACGGCCCGCTTCACGCCCTGCGCTGAGACGTACCGGCCCAGGGTGAACTCTGTGCGCACCTTGGTGGAGTACTGAATGAGGCCCACGTGTGTGCCCGTCCTGGAGATGTTCAGAGAGTCCACGATGCTGTTTACAAACTGCTTCACCAGCTCAAAGTTGGCAGGGCCCAGACTCTTAGAGCCGTCAATCACAAAAACTAAATCCATGATCCCATCCTGACAGCCGGGTTCTGTCAGAAACAATACAGGAGAAATACCTCTTCACTTTTCTTTTATTACATCTTAGGCTGAATCTAAATAAAAGCTTAGTTTTTATACTTTTGCAGCTCTTCCCATCATCAGCTAGCTTAAATCCTTCAAAACATCTACAGATGTAAGAGTCAGAGGAGCTGACGCACTGATGCTCACAGCCGTGATCCACCATCTGACAMGGATCCAGACCTGAAAGATTCAAACGTAGATAAACATGGCGTCCAGGTGGAACAGTAAGGATTTTGTATTTATATTTTATTAAAGTTTACACCTGAATAAGTTTTATTTAAAAAGTTAAATGATTACAGACATGATGTGAAATCAGTTTGATATAACGACAGAATATCTGCCTAATCTGAGCGAGTGGAGCACTGAGCGCTCAGCCCTGGGATTAAACACTGACCTCAGAACGGTTAGAAACTCAGACAGAATTATGCAACACATAAATCCTGAGGCAGGAAAAACAAGTCAAATCTGAAAATATCCTGAATGATTTACGGTCATTAGAAAAAGTAAGTCTACTTACCTTCATTTTTAAGGTTTTACACATCAGGACAGAACAAAAATTATCTGGGCCCGTATTTATAAAACTTCTTAGAATTACTCTTAAGAATGCTGCTAAGAGTGGACTTAAGTGTAAAATAATTCTTAGTTAAAATCTGAGAGTAAAAGTCATTTATCAAGCATCTCAGTCTGACTTTAAGTGAAGTGTAGGAGTAATTCTTAAGTGTCAGTCTTAGAGCTGATTTGAGACACCTGGCTGTGCCGCAAAACTAATCCTGGATGATGTCGTTAGAAAAAACACCGGCAAGGACCAATCACTGCCTCARATTTCATGTTCAAGACTATTGTCGGAGAAATGGCAAAATGAAAATCCTAAGATAAGTTCACTTTCAACACACTAATGTTGTCACCTTGTACTGACTGTCTGTAAATTGGGTACATGAAATGTCTTCATTGCATCATGAGAACATTTTTTTAAATCAAAAACTCAGCAGCTTTAAAGTTTGTTTTTTTGTCTCAGAGCCTGAGGTGATGTTGAGCAGCTCCCTCCTCCTCTTCGCCACTGTCAGACAACACCGGCTTCACACACACAAGCGCCATGCACGCACACAACCCCGCTCCATCATGAACAGCTTGGTCCGAGGGGAGCGAGCACCCGCCATACTCACCAGCTGAGTATATTTAATATTTTATCCAAATGCCACACACAAATATCTACCTTTTAGTCCAACATTATGCAGTTTTAATTTTTTTTAATTAATTTTTTTAACTTTTCTTTCTTTTKTATYTCTGATTAAACCTGTTTTCCACATCTTATAACTGAGAATAACAGTCAGGAGGACAGCTGTAATCTCWGTCTTCAGTCCATCTCAGACCCMTAGTGGCAACTCTTAACCATTGAGTCCTCTGGAGCAGYCTTAACTTWTCTTGAGAGTAAGAGTGATTCTTAGACTTAAGAATTGTTGATAACTGACACTTACATTTAAGTCTGAGAGTTGGAGCAAATCTAAGAAATTTTCATCACTTAAGTCTAAAAATCCACTCTAAGAAGTTTTATAAATACGGGCCCWGGTCTTTATCAGATTCTAAATTGAGTTAAATCTACAAAAACACACAACAGKTTCCATTAAACCTAAATGCTTAATCTGTGTGAAAACACTGATACCTCCATAGGATTTAGGAGGGAGAGCAGCAGCCAGGTGATGCTGATTAAGTGATCATCAGTTTGAGCTCCTCTAYAAAAGCTTGAGATTAAACAGTTTGCTGGTCTCTGTGATTTAACACAACRCAAAGATGGAAAACCATCAGCAAAGACTTTAGAGCAGCAGCTGTTGCTGCTCATCAATCTGGGCAGGATTAAAGGCATTTTTCAAACAATTTGAAGTCCATCATTCTGCACAGGAAAAGATTATTTCTCAGGAGTAACTGTCCCAGAAAGTTCACCCCAAAGTCAGTCCTTACCACCCATTTACACTGCATGCAGTTTGCTGTGCACTTCACCTTTATTCATTTCCACGAATGTGCATGAAATGCAAAATTGCACGATCCCAGTGATAAATATGGAAGTCATTTGAAAACAATTCATTCTGTGGAAGACGGACGTTGTCTTTTTGAAACTTCTGATTTCAAATAAAATCCATGTGCATTTTAGAGCATCTGCTTCCCAAACAGAACGATACATTTTGACAGCATGTGTATAAATATATCCATATATCTATTAACACAGCTGGGATTTGGACAAAACGGATTTTGTGCTTGTTCCTTTTCTTGTTGGTGTGGTAGGCTTATGGTTTTTGTAGATTGATTCTTCATTTGCTCTACTGTCCGGCAAAAATAGGATTGAATCCAATTTTGGCGGATGGCCAAAGATCGTAGCCRTATCCAGTGTAAACTGGGGTTACAGTGCTTTAGAAAAAAAAACTCAGTGACTTTACCTACAGTATGATTCAACATAAGAGGTGTCTAACAGTGGTCGTTGAAGGCCACTATCCTGCATGTTTCAGTTGTTTTCCTGCTCCTCAGCAGGTCTTCAAGCTCTACAGAAGCCTGTTAATCTCTCCCTCATCCAAATCAGGTGTGTCAAGGCAGAACGACTCTTAAAACATGCAGGGTAGTGGCGCTTGGCTTTTGTTTGGATAGATGTCTATATTAGTCACCATATTCAAGCATAGGATCAGTTTTGTAATCATGTCATCAGACCTGCAGCCCCATGTTTTGGACTCTGAGGTAAAGAGAGGGGCTGCACTGTCACCTGATCACCACCTGGTGGTGACTTGGATCTGCTGATGGGTCGGGCTTCCAGACTGGTAAAGCAAAACTATTAGTGAGAATTCTGAATTAGTGAGAACTGAATGTGGAGTGGAGGYGAGATGAGATATTCAGCTCGTCCCAGTCGTCGTTTTTATTCTTGCAGGGTTTCTAAGGCTGTTTGGAGAGTTTGATCCACCAGTCTACATGTGTTTTTTTTATAACCATGTTCCTGGAGGCATTCTGTAGGAGGTGCTGATGTCACTTTTAAATGTTATCAGATCCCTGTAGAACCAAAGTGAGAGCAGTCGAGCTTGTTCCCAGTGCGGGTTGAACATCACAGGGCTGTCTCCAGGAGGAGAGTGTCACAGGAGAGAGTAAKGTTTGGGTTTTCCTCCTGGACCTGTTGCCCCTGCAGCCAGACCATAAGCAGCATGAAATGGATGAATGATTTGTTTGGAGGAGTTGCCAGGAGAAAGAAGAGAAGAGAATGACTAAAGACCGGATYATACTTCAAGTTGCACATCTTGGTTCCTACATTTAGTGACAACAAATTGMATTGTTTCTGGCTGTTGTCCCCAGTGACACCTGTTGTGTGCATTGCATTGTGGGAGGGCAGAGGGAGAAATTATGATTACTTATCCCCAGCTGTGTCTTCAGCCCATCTGTATTCGGTCAGAAAAAGATGTCTGAAATGACACAATTACCARTCTGCTGTCTCACGTCGTACTGAAGTGTAAACCAAGCTTTAGACAACTGAGAGAAACACAGACTTCKGATGTTCTTTGGCCAGATGAGACAGAAGAGGTGAAGATGTACAACAACATGTTTGTTGAAAATGCAGTATCAGCACAAACACCTCATGCTAACTTTCAAGTATGGCGGTGGAGGATAATTTGCAGCTTTAGGACACTACAAACAGCTTTGCACACTAAACTATTTTAATCAAACTCAAACTTCTTGAGTCAAAATTTCAGAGTCAAGTGTGAGACTTTTAGTCCAGCAGATGACTAAATTTGAGTCAGGTAAATACAAYATAATCCTAAAATCTACAACAAAATGTTTAGTTAAAAAAACAGAAAGAAATCAAAGTGCTGCTGTGGTCCATGTAAACTCCAGACCTCAGCCTCGAWATGCTGTGGCAGGACATCGAGAGCTGTGCAAAATGTCTGAAACCTAAATGAACTGAAACAATAATGTAAAAAAAGGGAGCCAAAATTCTTGCACAATGACTTGTTAGACTTAAAAAGTCACAATAAAAATAGTTTTTACTGTTCAAAGTGGTTTCATAAGCTGTTGAATCCTTAGTTTTTCAGTTTTTCCATTTTTGCTTTTTTTTCATTGTTTAATAAAGAATGATAATCTGCTGTGTGTTTTTGTTTACTTGAGGCTTGATTTAAATAGTTTTAGATCCTGGTGAAAAATAGATCCAAGTTTATTATGTCCTGGTTATAAATTACCAGAATTGATAAAAGGTGGACTTGTCCTTTCTCATGACTGCAACTTTGCGTCACATAAATTCTTTCATTTTATTTTTTAACAAATGAAATTAAAGAGAATCAGAAGCCAGTATCAGTAAAAACACACTTTTAAACACGATTGTTTTAAAGTTTGTGTTTGTCCATTTAGAATCTCTTCACCTGTTCTTAACCACACATTTTCCTAAAAATGTCAGGACTCACTTTGACATGTTTTTCCATCGGTCCTCAGTCTGTATCCTTCTCTGCATTTACACACACATGAATCCTCTGTATTCATAAAGTCCTGCTCACAGCCGTGACTCCCATCAGCACAGTGGTCTGTCTCTGCAAGAGAGAAATTATTCAATGATTGTTGCCTCACCCACAACTATCATCACCAGCACTGGCTTTATTATTACAATCCAAACATTTAATAAGCACAAATAAACCTGCAAATTCCAAAACTACAATTTAAAAGTGGTTCATTTAAAACAGGGGAATGATCATCTGTTTTCAGTCTGGTTCTGTCTGCAAAGCATCAGAGCTGARCAACTGTCTGGGTTTAGAAAACACTACTGAAACAGTCTCTTCAGTTTTGGTTCTGTTGGATCTCAGTGTTGTATTTGACAACATGAACCACAAAATTATTAAACTCAGACTTTAGCACATCATCAGGATCAGGAGGACTGCCTTAATTTAGTTTTATTATTTTAATTTTATTATTATATTATTATATTTATTATATTATATTTATTATTTTAGTTTTATTATTATAATTTAGTCAAATCTGTCTGAAAGATTTCAATTTAATTATGGTGTTCCTCTGGGTTCTGCTCTTGGTCCCATTCAGGGATTTGCAAGCTGTGGATCTGGGGACACATGAGGCTCTTAGGTCCCTCTGCAGTGGTTCTTTGAAGCTCTGACCAAAACACAAAATATGAAACTGTGTTTGTTAGTTTTTTATACAACATAAAAGGCTAGTTTTAGCAGTTTTCCTGTCAGTTTGTTTGCAAATATATGATCAATATACTGCATGATCAATACTAATACCAGGAGTAAAGCATGTTGATTAGATCATGTTAGTTTGGTGGCCACTTGAAAAATCTAATTTCCAGCCTTACAGCATGATCATTCTCTCAAATACATCAGGATTGTTTTAGAATAACTTTAAAAGAAGCTGCTGAGGAAAAATGTGAGTTGATAATAATAGGAGTTATAAACATATTGTTATGAATCTCAGGCAAGAATGAACCCATGATGCAGGCAGTTTCAAGGGTCCAAAAAACAAAGTATTTATTTAACAAAAAAGGTGCTGACTGGGCAGCTCAAAAACTCTGAGAGTGGCTGGCAAGGCAAGGCAAGGCAAGGCAAGGCAAGGCAAGGCAAGGCAAGGCAAGGCAAGGCAAGGCAAGGGAAGACAAGGCAAGGGAAGACAAGGCAAGGCAAGGCAAGGCAAGGCAAGGCAAGGCAAGGCAAGGCAAGGCAAGGCAAGGCAAG